TAGTGCTGACATATCTTTGCTGATGGTGTCACCAGTGATGCAATTTTTCCCAAGGAGCCGTCAATTGGCTTGGTGTCGTGGCATTTCTGTATCCTCCTCCCTTCTGCTAGTGATGGTCTAAAATTTGGGGGCCAATGGCTTATGCTGGACCGGTAGTCAGTGACGGGTATGATCCAATTGCAGTGGTATCAACCTAAGACAGGAGGCTGACGCCTAAAGGTCAGTTTTCCGATGACGGGTAAGAACCGTATGTTGAATTGGACAACCTACCAGGCATGGTCCTTAAGCCACATTAACCTCACTCCCCCACTGGCACCAAGGCCAAATTTGGGGGCCAACAGAGGTGAGGCAAAGAACCTCACCCCCCCACTGGTGCATAGACCTATCCACAAGTATGGCTGTATGCTGGACCGGTAGTCAGTGACGGGTATGATTCAATTGCAGTGGTATCAACCTAAGACAGGAGGCTGACGCCTAAAGGTCAGTTTTCCGATGACGGGTAAGAACCATATGTTGAATTGGACAACCTACCAGGCACGGTCCTTAAGCCATATTGCTTGTTGTTTAATTAATCAGAAGGGGGGAGATGCTGGGAGCCATGAGCCAAGTAGGTATAACAATTTCCTTGCCAGCGTACTCCATGTTGCAGTGACATTGAATGTAGGTGACCTTGCTCAAGGACCAAGGCGGATTAGGGCGTTCCCGGTTTAGGTTCCAGGTTTAAGGTTTAAGATTATTCCTGCTGGGAATAGAGCGTATCCTGCTGCCTGAGTTCCCCTTGAGTTCTCACGGGATTCAGACAGTATATTTTGGAGATAGAAGCCCAGTGGAGGTGGATTTGGGCAGAGAACGTGGATTTCCCCAGAACGTGATTGTAGACGGCTGGTGTGAGTTTGGGAATAAAGAGTTGCTGTTTGAATCTACAAGCTGTGTGGTGGCTCGTGACTGTGTGCCCAGCCAGACTGCGGCATTTGTGCCCAGCCAGACTGCGGCAACTAAGTAAGAAGGAATACTTTCCCCAAGCTATTTCTCTTTGATTCCTCTAGATCAAGTCTTCAATGGGCCCACTCTAAACTATCTGAGAGTCAAGTTGATTGCTACTACACAGAGGTCTCAAATGAGAAACTATTCTCATTAGCCACGGAGGCAATGAAGAACTGAAACAACTAAATGAGACTTGGAAAATTCAGAAAATGAGAACACCCTTGTCCCCCAATCATCCTCCCTCTCTCTATCAAGAATAATCCTTATTATCTGCATTTAAGGCAGATCTGTGACCAAAAGTATAGTATAGGGGCTTCTTTATATAACTAGGGATTGGGAAACACTTGGAAGAATTAAAATGGATAAACTCACTCTTCCTCTAGTTGAAAGTAAGGATTAACATGAGCTCTGAGTCCAGCAAAACAGTTTCATTTTGCTTTGAAGAATCTTTTAGGGCTGTCCTATTTCATCCTTTCAAAGGACATACCACCATCCATTGTCATGGCTTATCAGTGTTTTGTGTGTCTGAAAGGTTACTGGATGTTGGTCACAATATGTTTGAAATGACTACCCTGGAAACCAGCACACACTATCAAACTATACTTTCCTCTATTTTATAGTAAGGAAACTGAGTAATAGTGATATGGTATTTTCCAAAAACTATGGCAATAAAACCAGGATGTAAACAGTCTGATTCCAACACCCATGTTCTTTCCATTTTAAAATATCACATCTTAATTAATTCCATGTTCACAACTAAAGTTCAGGGAGACTGTAAAAATTAGTACATGTTAATGCTTGCAGGAAGACACCTATGTGTATTTTTTTTTTCTGAGGAGAAATCTGAGCTATTTTCAAAGGAGTCACTTACCTGAAAAAAAGCCAAAAAGCACTGCATCTCAACAATTAAAGAGGATTAGCCATAAATCTTACATGATTCCTTTGTCTGTGTATTAGGTTGGGACATCCGGAAATATCCCAGCCTTCAACAGCAAGTATTTCTCTTATGTAATGAGGTACCCTATTTACCTGTATTTTCCCAGGCACCAAGCTTACTTCATACCTTTTTCTTTTAAATACCCTTTTAAAAGTAACTAAAGTGAAAAGTGACTGATGTGAGCAGATTATCCCATTAGTTTCATCCCTCAATAGCAAGCATGATTAACTCTTTAAATGGTGTTACTCTGCCCTGATCACACCAGTGCAGTGTTCTTAGATTCCAATTCACAACTAAGAGAACAATCTAAACTGCAAGGTACATGGAGCACTTGAAAGCTGATTCCTGATCCTAGCTGGACTGGCAGTTCTATCAAGTTCTTTGTGTACATTTCATATTGAAAGTATTAAACCTAACTTGTTTAATTATTTTTGTTACTAAATTATTTTAAACGCATGTAAAATAAAATAACTTTTAGAAGGTGTACAATTCTATGAATTTTACCACATATACTCTTTTTATTTATTTATTTTTTAGTTATACATAACAGTAGAATACATTTTGGCGTAATTATACAAGCATGGAATATATTCTATCTACTTCAGACCCAAGTACCTCTCCTTCCCCTTCCCTACCTTTGCTCTCTTCCTTCTATTGATCCTTCTGCCATTTGTCCATAGTTATTATTATATTTTTAATTAATTTCCTGTGGATGTACAGGACAGTGAGATTCACTGTGGTATACTCAAATATAACACATAGATTCTTATACCACTACCACCAACAACAAGATACAAAATAACTTCAATACTCCTAAAGAATTCCCTCCTCATGATACTCCTTTACAACCAGACTTTTACCCTAATCTCAACTCTGGTAACTACTGATGTCTTCTCGGTTACTTTAATGGTGCTTTTTCCAGAATGTCATGTAAGTACATTACTTTTGGAAAGTGACTTTTAGTTAGCACAATGCATTTAAAATGTATCCAAGTTACTGCACATTATCAATAGTTTGTTCCTTGTTTATTGCTGAGTAGTATTCTGATGTATAGATATATCACAGTTTGTTCACATATTCAGTCAGAGAGGGAGACCTGGGTTATTGCCCCTTTTGGTGATTATGATTAATGCTGCTATAGACACATTTGTACACAGACTTTTTAGTGAATGTAAGTCTTCATTTCTCTAGGATAAAATGCCCCAAAGTGGGAATGCTGGATCTTACTGTAACATACATTTAACTTTTCTTTTTTTTTTAAATGCTGAACTTTTCCAGAGTTGCAGTTCTACTGTGCATTCCCACCAGCAGTCTATGAGAGTGTACTACATCCTTGCCAGCACTTAGCATCTTTAATCTTAACTATTCTAATATGTGTATAATAGTACTGTATTATGGTTTTCATCTTAAAATCCTGCAAGTATTCAAATCTTGTTTATTCTTTGCTGACACTGCTTAAGCAATTTTGTACAACATAAAACTTTAGGAGTACATGGAAACTACACAAAAAATTAAAGATGGCCAGTTTCCTCCTATTAAAGACAAGGAAGCTAAGGTCCAGAGAAGAAAAGTGATACAGTCGAAGTTTAAGACCTCTGCTATTTCCAATAGTTCTTTTAATCTTTTTAACGTGAACAAATTAATTCCTGATCCTATTTTTAAAAAGAGAAAGCAAAACCATAAAAGTGCCATTAGCTCCAGAAATAATTAACACAGTTCTATTTAACTTGATACTGATTTGTAAAAGTCATTCCCACTTTAATACAGAAATGGCAGAAACTACAGGTTTTAGGGCACATCATTAGGTTTCTAATTAGGTACTCAAGTACTCAGACCTCAAGATATTCTACTTAGTAAAGCAGAAGTTTCTTGGACGGTATATAAATTTAAAAGGGATTGGGGGTGCCTTCTTTCTTGATTTTTATAGTGCAGACTTTTCCTTTATATATAACCTCGAGAAGCCTGACTTGGTAGCATCTGACCGTAGGCCTGACACAATTCCACTGGTTGATCACAGGCTTGACTGTTAAATTCCATGGATTTAAGAGACTCAGTGCTAGCAGTACTTCTTCATCATTCTTTCCTGGAAGGAATAATCAACTTACCTGACAGGTCTGAGAGAGCAGGAACTGGGCATGCCTTGCTTAGTCCTATCTGGGCAATTCTCCTCAAGAACTGCTCACCTGTAGAAAGGGGGACTTCTGGTCTGCTGGCCCTACACAGCACAATAGTCAAAGATAGGTAGACTCTGAAGGCAGTGTGTGACTGTCCACTCTTCTAGAGATGACAGAGAAAGCCTCTGGCAAGCCTTTCTGGAAGCTCTGAGGTCAGTCTTCCAATCTTGTTTTCATATGTATTAAAGCAAACATTCTGAACTGTCTCTGTGAGAACCTAAATTTTTCACTGGATTTGCACTCAGCAGAGAAAGATGTTGTTATTTAGGGATCCCAGGTATATATTATATTTCAGTGGAAAAAATATTTGTGTAATTATAACATCTAATAGATGTCATCTGCTACAAGAGTAATTATGTGGGAAACCCCTTGTGATTCAGAAGACCTATGTATATACCAATTATATCAGTGTTTCTAAAAAGCAGAGGCCTTTACTTAAAGAATTTTTATATGGAAGGCCAGTACACAAAATCAGTAAAAGTGAAACTACCCTGGTTAAGGAACTGTAGGCTTCTCAAAGCTTATCCCACTTTCATGTTCCCATGGCATACTCCTCAGTCCACTTTTCCTCCAACTTTGTACAATCTTGAGAATTTCAGAACACAGTAAACCTGGTCTTGAATAATGAAACACCAAACGGTTACTCTGCTACTGTTCTAATGAAAGGCAAACCTCTGCCTTTGTTGAGAAGTGCTAGACCACTATCCATGTGGGTACCTTCTCTTTGGCCACTTCACTGGTAGAACAAGATTAACAGCTCAAAGAACCTTGAAAAGATGCCTTCAAGACTAATTTGCTACAGTAATTTTAAGGGAGAAGTACTTCGATATAATAACCATACAAAAGCAGTCCCATACAAAAACAGAAATGTTCTGAACTCAGTTTGTGGATCATGCAATTCTCACCATGCAAAGTCTGATCTGTCCCCAAAACATTCCACTCTGCTGGCAGCTTCAAGTGTCTGAATGCCAGTGCAACCTTCTCATCAAGGGAATTCACATCCCCAGATGGGGGTCCTGACCGGTCAAGAAAACGAGTGAAGTTCAGAGCCTGCTGATTTCCAGCACTGGTTGCCAGAAATTGAGCTGCGTCATATGCCTCATCCTGGACAAAATGGAAGTCTTCTTCAGCTACCACAAACACAGGCAGGCCCTCTTTGGAAGCACACAGCAGCACCTTCACTGTCTCACAGCAGTCATGACCTAAAGAAAGCACAGATGACCACGAAAATAGTATTAGACTCCCCTGATGAAAGAAGGACACCAGTGGGTCATCTTATTAGTTCTTTTTTTTTTTTTTTATGACACACAAATTTTTCTCTTTCTAAAAGAAATCCCTTCTTCCTCTGAGCTCTAATAGTACTTTTTTCATCAAATTTCTCAAAACTTGTTTTCAGAGCTGGGATGTAGATCAATGGTAGAGCACTTGCCTAGCATGCCTGATTCCCTGTTCATTCCCAGCACCATCAAAAGAAAGAAAAAAAAAAAAAAAGCAGAAGCAGCAGAGAAAGGGGATGGGGGGGAGAGTGGAGGGGAAGAGGAAGTACTAAGGATTGAAATGGGGAAAACTATGTTATATGCATTTTATGACTATGTCAAAATGAACCCCACTATTACGTATAACTATTAAGAAAAACAAAGGACGAACTACATTTTCAGGTTTTTAAATTGTTACTTGAAAACATCAATGAGTTTCCTGTAACAGCAAATAATTGTGTATCCCAGTTTTCACTATAACTACAAAATGGTATTAGTCATATAGTAGGCTGTTGAATATCAACTATTGCTGTTGAATTTTAACAAATTAAAAAATGAACGTTCTGAGAATCTGTTAAGGCCTAGCATATGATGGAAAAAAGTCAAATACCTACTAAGCTGAATTAGATTTGAAAACATAATTGGGAAAATTATCATTCACAGGAATATGGAAGGAATTTTAGATTCCCCAGCATGTGTTTCACTATGACTGCAATGTAATAAATCAAACAATGAAGCCCTTTAAAAAGTGCAAACCTACTTTATTTTACTTTACATTATTAGCAAAGCAAGGCCTAAAAAGTAAATAACAATATTTTTTACTGTTTTCATATAAACACTTTTTCCTCTCAACTACTAATGTGGTGAGAACTTCAATGGAATCATTTGGTTCCATAATGAAAGTGTAATGCCGTGGATAGAAGCCCAGTTCAAGAGAAACAAACATGCTAAGGACTCTGTGGTATCCACTGTCCAGACAGGCAGGTACCTCATGAGCTCTGACTTCAGACAACCTATATGCTACCCCAAAGAGCCAAATTAGCAACACAATGTTTCTGTAGGTAAGGCATTCTTGGAGGATGAGACTTTTTTCTAGACCTAATCATTCAAAATTAAATATTTCCAATATGCAGAATGTATTCAAGTAAACACACACTGTCTTTTCTCAACTTTAAACAAAGATCTCAACTACCACAACTAAGTTGCTCCTACCATTATCACTCTTCTCTCATTATTCCACTCTGTGGTCCAAGATTTGGAGTTTCCATACCATGGGCACAGGCCAATACATATTTCAGACTCAGACAAAACAAACTAAGATTTCTGCTGTCTTTGAAAGAGAACAATGTCCATTGTCAATCACAATGGCAAGTTATGATTTTTCCACATACCTTCACCCTTGCAACAAAAGGAAAATCTCTCACTGCTATGTAATTTTAGGATGTTAACATGTACTAAGAATCTACTATATACCAGGTATCTGACAAGTAATTTTTTTTCTACATGACAATTTTATAAGGTATATATTGTCTTCATTTTCTTTTCTTTCTTCTTTTGTATTGAGGATTGAATGCAGGGGTATTTTACCACTGAGCTACATACCCAGTTCTTTTAATTTTAAAACAGGATCTGCTAAGATGCAAAGGCTGACCTTAAATTTTTGATCCTCCTGCCCTGGCCTCCTTAGTCACTGGGATTATAGGTGAACACTACTGTGCCTGGCTTTCTTCACTTTCTTCACTTTATAGATGAGAAAATGGACACTTCCAAAATTAAAGGAACTTATACCATGGTTACACAGATACTAAGGAGTAGAATTCATTATTCAAAAGTCAAGGATGATGCCAAAGGACATGCCCTTTCACATCATGATGCAAGGGTATTGTATCATATTATCCATCAACAAAGGGGGTAAGGTAACAATAAGCTCCTCCCTGAAAGGAGCCTGACACTTGCAAAGACAGGCCAGTATGACTAGTAATCAAGAATGACATGTTCACAAGTTGTAAAGATCAGTCTTCACACAAATGTAATTCCAGAGGATATAAACAGTGCCTTCTAAGTTTCTATGAAGGATATAAAAAGCTAAAGCATCTCCTGCCCAATATGTGCATACACATACATATGTGCACACTCCAATTCAATATATATATAGAATTTGTACCTTGAATATATTAAGTGAAATTAGAGAAAAATTTAATATTTCTTTAAAAGGTAGTCAGCCTAATTACAAAAGCATCCATGTCAGCAGAAATTAGCCAACCAATCTAAGTAGTAGGTTTGTGTATTTCACTGGCAGAAAATATTTCTTTTAAAATATTCTATAATATCTCGCTCAGTTCTATTCAATAACTAGTAGCTGGACAGCCACAAAGTTCAAGCATCATGATTAGAAGGTGAAGATGAGTAAGGGAAGAGTCTCAATTCTCCAATGCTTTATAATTCACAGGAAAGACTCCAACAAGCTACAGTTAACTGCAATGTAAATTAAAACTGGATGTGCTCTGTAAGAAACACACAGTGCAACTAGGGGATGGGGAAGGAGTACATTTCACCAAGGAAGTAGCAGTTAAGAAGGACCCTTCACACGCACACTGTCCCGAAGTCTCTCAACCCAGGGATTCTTCTCTATAACCCTCAGAACTAAGATGTTTTATTCTTTTTTCTCTTCTTATTCATTTAATAAGCACTTACTTGCCATGAGCCAGATACTATTCTCAGTGCTTTACAAATAACGTCTCATAATAATCAGTAGGTATTATTATCTTTATTTGCCAAACAAACAACTTGCCCAAGGTTATAAATAGCTCTTACATGGCCAAATTAAAACTTGAATCCAAAGTTGGATTGTGCAGAAGAGACTGAGGTGAGGGGAGGAGAGGGAATGTGAGAATGGGAAGGACAGTGGAATGAGACAGACATTATTACCCTATATACATGTATAATTACACTACCAGTGTGACTCTGTACCATGTACAGCCAGAGGACTGAGAAGTTGTGCTCCATTTGTGTAAAATGTGTCAAAATACATTCTACTGTCATGTATAATTAATTAGAACAAATTAAAAATAAAAACTTAAGAATTTGATTCAAAGTTTCAATATTCTAGAATCTGCCTCTACACCCCAAATTAATGTATAAGAAAGATGGCCTAAAGAGTAAAATAAGACCTGGGCACAGTGGCCTAGGCTTTTACTACCAGCTACACAGGAGTCTGAGGCAGGAGGATTTCAAGTACAAGGCAAAGGTTGGCAACATAGTGAGACCCTGTCTCAAAATATAAAGGGAGGGGCTAGGGTTGTGGCACAGTGGTGGAGCACTTGCCTAGCATGTGTGAGGCCCTAGGTTCGATTCTCAGCACCACATATGAATAAATGACTAAAATAAAGGTTCGTCAACATCTAAAAAAAATCTTTAAAAAAAAATATAAAGAGAGCTTACGTAGTTCAGTGGAGGGAGGGAGGGAGGGAGGGAGGGAAAGAAAGGAAGGAAGGAAGGGAGGGAGGGAGGGAGGGAGGGAAAGGAAAAAAGGGAATAAAAACAAAACAAAAAGAGGGATGGTAAAAGAAAGGAGAGGAAAGGGGAGGGGAGGAAAGGGGAAGGGGGGACACCATGGAAGAATCAATGAGAAAGGAATAAAAAACACATTCAAACCTTGACTAAAACGCATCTATTTCCGTTGTAGCTCTTACTCTGGGCTGCAATTCATTATAGCATGGGGGAGCTATAATGCTACCGGTACTGAGGTTTCTCCAATTGCAAGACTATGTATGGGTCATGCCAGGCAGAAGGTAAAGAGGGAGAAATGGTCAAGAAGGAAATAGCTTTAAAAATGTAAAATGTGCTGCGTGTGGTGGCACATGCCCATAATCCCAGCAACTCCAGAGGCAGATTGCAAATTCAAGGCCAGTCTCAGCAACTTAATGAGGCCCTAAGCAACTTAGTGAGAACCTATTTCCAAATAAAAAATGAAAACCATTTTAAGATGGGATGAGATGTGGCTCAGTGGTTAAGCACCCTTAGGTTCATCCCCAATATGGAGGGGAAAAAATAGTAAAAATGTAAAGCAAAGGGTAAGCTCAAGGGATAGAACTAATATTATGAGAGTGAGTTTTGGGAGAATATTAACTAAGCTACATCTAGATGCTTAGTAGACAAGAATTTCTTACTTATTAGCTATGTGGCCTGAGGTAAATGACAACCTAACACTATCAAATTGGGCCTCCTTAGCCTTATAAGTGGAGAGCTATAATTTGGAAGGACCCTCCCAAATTCTTTAATACTACCATTGAAAACAACGCACAAAGCCTCACTTCAATCCAAATTGGAAGGGGAGGTGGGTAGCAATATGTATTTCAGACAGAAGAATTCATTTAAAGACAAAAATGTTTTGATTGATTATAGCATTGCCTCATTGTTTCAGAATTAAACAAATTTATAAATTCCTGAAAGTTCTCTGAGGTAGATAGGAAAATCACTAACTTCACAATACCACAATAATGCTATAAATAACTTAGGATCCAAATTGAATTCTGCCATCATACTTATATTTGCTATGTCTTAGAAGAGATATTACAAGAACCTAAAATAATAATACCTACTGGCCTTACCCATGAAAACAGTCCTTATTCTTTCTTACCAATCTTCCTTCCCCAATTCTCTGTAAAGATTGAAAACCTGATTTAGAAAGGGAGTCACAATGCCACTAGAAGTAAAATCACTTCCTTGGCCAGGTGAGCTTGTGCATGCGTATAATGCCAGCTACTCAGGAAGCTAAGGAGGGAAAATGGCAAGTTCAAGGCCAGCCAAGGGACTCATTGAGACTCTGTCTCACAATAAAACTCACAAAGGGCTGGGGATCTAGATCAGTGGTACAGAACTTGTCTATCATGTGCAAAGCCTTGGGTTTAATCCCCAGCATCTATCTCCTTCCCTCTTTCTCCCTG